TTCAAACCCACTAGGCACTCTGCAGAAAGAAGGCTACTTCCTTACAGATTTACTGCCTTGGAAACCCAATGGGGGTCACTATGAGTCAGAATCAACTGGATAGCAGTGAGTGGTTTTGTGGGTTAGGAAGGCAGCGTTTTCACTCCGATCAGTTGTTTTTTCTGCCCTAAGGAAATGCTGCAACGTCTTTTAAACTCAAAGAATATCCTGCAGCATCTAGAATTTTTGCTCACCCTCCCACAACGCAATTTGTTTATTATCAAAGCTGAGGAGGAGAAGAGCACTCCGGAGAATCGCCCAGCTCTGGTGTGCGCCAAGGTCCGGCTGGCTCTATGCTCCAGCGGAAGGCGTCCAAAACGCCTTTGTCCAATATTGCTGGACCACTCCTTCAGCTCCGGCTGCCCTATCTGTGTCTCCACTTCTTCTCCTCCGCCTTCGCCACGCAACGCACTTCCGTGGGCTTCGTTTAAACAAGGGCACCAGCGCCCCATTGGTCCGACATCTGTCTCCGGAGGGTTGTAATGCTCCGTCCCCGGGGCTGCTCAGAGTCCCAAGGGCTGCTTTGCGAACGGCCTGGGCAACCTTGTCTTTTTCCGACATCAGGGTTCGGGCTCCAGGTCCCGGTGCAGAGACTCTTGCCTCCTGCAGACTGCAGTCGCGTCGGCGGAGGAGGCCGGCGCCAGGGAGCAGCTGGACTCAAGGAGAAGCATCACTGCAAAGGCAGCGCCAGGACTAGAGGTGCCCGCGGCGTGTGGTGGAGCGCGCACAGGCAGCACCTGGTTAGGCTGGTCTGGGCGTGGTGAAGGCAGGGAACTGGGCTCCCGACCCACGCCCACCTGGGCTCAGCCCGAGGACCCGCCGAGGCCAACGGCCCCTGGCGACTTCGGGGCCAACGCAGCTCGCGAGGACGCGGCCGCAGACTGGGGTCGCGGCTGACACTCAGGGGCGCAGGGCGCGCGGCAGCAGAAGTTGTGCTACTTTCTTAGGAAACGCCTCTCCACGCCTCGAAGATGCCTTCCCTGTGGAAAGAAATCGTCCTGGAGACCCTCCTGGGTAAGCTGAGGTCGCCACCGAGTGGTAGAGGGTACCCGCTCGCTCTCGTCCGTACTGGCGCCGCTGCGCTGGGCGAGGTTGGCTCAGCTCCGGAAGGAGAAAAGCGCACTCTGTGCCCAGAATGGAGATGCTTATCGTCCCCTGGGAACTTTTGCTACCGAAGGGAAAAAAATGACAGACCTAGATTTAGGTGCCGAACCCGAAGATTCGGCTAGGGGCCCCTGGCACAGGAAACCTCCCGAGCTCCCAAGGCGTTCTGGGGTTGAGCCAAGGGGCGCGATTTCCCGCCTATCGGCCTAGAACTGGCCCGATAGGGACTGCCCCCAACCCTTCACCTTTGACCTCTAAGTTTAACTTAATAAAATTCAGTACTGAACTTTAACTTTACGAAGGAAAAGGGCACCTGTTTTCCCCTGGGCTTAAGGTGAGCATAGGGCAGTATCTGCTGGCAGTGAACTTGGTGGGGCAGGAGAGGCCATGGTGGAGGCTGCAGTTTGGTATTTGGCGAAAAGTGTTGGATTTTCTCAAATGCTGAGTTAGCAGTTTTGAAAAATGTCTTGAGGACAATTATTAATGTAATTCTATGAGTGCTATAAAAAACAAACGAAACCAAACTCACTGCTCTCCAATCGATTTGACTCATAGCGACCCCTCCTTAGGTTTTCAAGGAGGTATCACTACAGAAGTAGATTCCCCAGCCTTCCTTCCGAGGAGTGGCTGGTGGGTTTGAATGCCAGCCTTCTGGTTAGCAGTCAAATGCCCTAGGCACTATGCCACCAGAGTTCTAGGATTAAGAGTTGCCTCACAAACATTTGAGAGATTGCTAGAATTCTGGGACTTGGTATGAAACAAGGATTCTCTGGCATGGGCGGGGCGCCTTCCTGAGAACTTTATTCAATGGCAGCTGGTAATTCAAGGTCCCTGGTGGGTCTTTTTCTTTTTTATTTTGGGGGACTTATTATCTCTGCCACTCCTCAGAAGGAAGATGGGGCAACCTACTTCCGTAGTGATACTGCCTCAGAAACCCAAGGAGGGGTCACTATGAGTCAGGTCTGACTCGACGGTACATAACAACAACAAGAAGTATCTCTGAAGTAAAGAAAACATTAAAAAATTGCTGACCAAAGTTCCCTTCCAAGTTCCCAGTCAAGGTTACTTCATCTCCTAAATTGTTAGTGCCCTTAAGTATTTTCTGACTCATAGTGGCCCCATGTGGCAAAGTGGAACTTTCTAGGCTGTAATCTTTGTGGAAACAAATCTTAAAGTCTTTCTCTCAAGGAGGCATTTCATGGATTTGAACCTTCAACCTTTTGGTTAGCAGCTCAGTGCTTAACCTAAGCTGGGGATGTAAAGTAACTAACATTCAGTAAGTATCTAGGGCTGTAGATAATTCATGTATTTGCTCTCTCTTAATCCTACTAGCAGCTCTGGAGTCCCTGGGTGATGCAAGCAGCACACTGGGCTGCTAATGAGAAGCTTGGAGGTTTGAGTCCATTCAGAGGCACCTAGGAAGAAGGGCGTGGCTATCTACTTGAATGATCAGCCACTGAAAGCCCTGTGGAGGGCAGTTCCACTCTGACACACATGAGGTCGCCACGTGTCAGGATGGATTACAAACTGGTCTGGCCTAGTAATTCTGAGGTGGTTAAATATCTTAATTTTGCTGATTAAGAAAGGGAGGTTGAAGAAAGCCCTTTGGGAGAAAGATATAATACATAGTGTTTATATTAGGCTGCTGGACAGCCTGGATTTAATTCTCTCTGCCATCAGCTACTTGTGTGACCTTGGGCAATTAACTTTCTGAGTCTCAAGTTTTGGTTTTTGTTTAGGAGTGTGTGTATGTGTGTGTGTTTTGCATTTGTAAAAGAGGAGTAAAAATAGTAACAACCTCATGGGACTATAGGTTGTATAAGGAATAAGAGAGATGATTGTATTAAATATTTAGCAGAGAGTTTAGCACATGGTAAGTGCCCATGCATATTATCATTTTTGCACAAGTTTCTAGTCAGTTGTTAACAGAGATGAAACAGACTTCCAGTCTGGTTGTGCTACAGCCTCATATTGCCTCCTAAGGGTTGGATTTTAAATAGATTTACATGGAAAAAGATTGTTCTCTTCCCCAAAGTGCCTTTGGATATAGCCTGAAGCAGAAGATGGGAATATGTCGGTTGCACTTTTTGATTTTCATATTTCACATAAAGTAGGGGTGAAATTACGTAAGGAAATTTTATCAGTCAGGGTCCTGACAGGAAACAAAATTCACCACCAATGCTCCAAATGAAGAGACTTTAATAAGGGGACTATCTACAGGGATATAGACAAGGTAGAAGGATTAACAAGGGATGTTGAAGGTCATGCAATGCAGGAAGCCATTCTCAACTTGAGCCTGACTGGGCAGGAATTATGTTACCGGAACTCAGTTAAGGCCAGAGGCATGAGGGTTGATGACCAGTGGGAGCAAGTGTAGTGGACAATGCCAAAGTTACTTTTCTCCCTCTCTTTTTACAATTTTTTTTTTTTTGTAGGATATGTTTCTTGGTCTCTCTACCATGACCTGGGACCGATGATCTATTATTTTCCTCTGCAAACACTAGAACTTACTGGGCTTGAAGTTTTCAGTATAGCATACCTTTCTCCTATATTTCTAACAATTACTCCTTTCTGGAAATTGGTTAACAAGAAGTGGATGCTAGCCCTGTTCCGGATAATTACTGTTGGTAAGTTTTAGAAGTGTTTAAAATTATTTTTCAGTTAAAAATCAAGTGAAATTATGTAAATTGTTCTTTGAAAGCTAAGTGCTAAGGGAGCTTGACTGCTAACCAGAAGGCTGGCGGTTCAAACCCACCAGCCACTCCCCGGAAGGAAGATGGGCAATCTACTTCCGTAGTGATACTGCCTTGGAAACCCAAGGAGGGGTTGCTATGAGTCGGGTCCGACTCATGGCACATAACAACAACAACAACAACAAGTGCTTGAATTAAAAAAACAAAGATTTCTCTTTCCCTTACTACTACTTTAGAAGAATTTTAGTAAAATTGGAAGCTAGATCAAGAGTAAATGGGTTTTACATTTCTAATTTTCCTTTCAGAATGGAAAAGTCTAAAAATCTCTGAAAAAAGGGGAAAGATATCTCAGACAACTGGTCTACTCTTGATTATCTTGTAGTCCTTTTTTAAACTGTGATACAAAACTCAGAAGATGGTTTAAAAGATTGTTAACTGATTTTTTTGTTGTTGTTATATGCCGTCGAGTCGGACTCAACTCGTAGCGACCCCTCCTTGGGTTTCCGAGGCAGTATCACTACGGAAGTAGATTGCCCCATCTTCCTTCCGAGGAATGGCTGGTGGGCTTGAACCGCCAGCCTTCTGGTTAGCAGTCAAGTGCCTTTAGGCACTACACTACCAGATAGTGCATAGAAAATACAAAAATTGTGGATGACAAACAGAACAGTAAAAAAAAGGAAAAATAACAAAATTGGTAAACTATTTGCAACTCTAATTTCAAGGGCTAATTTTCCTAATACATGTGGTTGTTGTTCGGTGTTGTAAGTTGCTATAGAGACTGCTCCAACTCAGGAGGATGTTAATATGTATAGAGTTGCTACAAATAAATAATAAAAAAGATGAACATTAGAAAAGTGGTTGAGGACATGATCAAGTCACTGAAAAGCAAATCCAGTTGGTTCTTTAAAATATAATATGAATATAAATACCAATAAACACACATACATATGTACACACACAAGTGTATCAGATTAGCAAAGAACAAAGTGATAATACTGTGCTTTGGGGATGAGAAAGCAGGCAGTCATATATTACTGGTAGGAATATAAAATTGGCACAATGTCTATGGAGGATAATTTAGCAATATATATTAAAATTATAAATGTGCATACCCTTTGAGCCAGCAGTGCCATTTCTAGGAGTCAATCTTCATATATGTGTGAGATGATAAAAATACAAAGTTATTTAATCATTGCAGCAACATTTGTAATCACAAGATTAGAACTAACATAAATGTCATCAATGAATTATAGCTATGAAATTTGCAATACTATGAAACTGCACAAAAAACGAATGAGGATATTATTTATGTAATGAAATGGCATGTTCTTCATGATATATTAAGGGGGAAAAAAGAGAAAATACTGAACCATGTGTACAGGATTCTAATAGTATCCTCATATGAAAAAGGATGGGTGAAAACATGAATTAAATAGCTCTAGAAAGATTGAAAACAACAAACAAAGCCTCCAGTGTAGAGAACATATCTAGACACAGGTAGGGAAGGAGACCTTTGCACTGCACACCTTTTCTACCTTTTAATTCTGAACCATTTGAATATATTATGTGGCCAAAAAATAACAATTTTTTAAAATGTACACTTACTATCACAAAGACTTGAGATTTTTTTTACATTGACAGCTACTGAGAAACCTTGGAGAAGTATTTGTAGTTAAAGTAACAGTAACAAAATGAGGTCATGGAGAAAAGTTTTGGAAAACAAACCCACCAGACTTTGGTCTGATTGAATCTGTGTCTGAAAACTGGATCCTTACCCTTCTACTGTACGTCAATTGGCCCTTCTGAGAAATTTTTCAAATGGCATTTGCTCACAAAGCATGCCATGTAGTTCTTCCGTATGGAAACAGTCATTTGGCTTTTATTCAGAAACAGTGACAGGAATCACTATGAGTTGCCATCGGTTTTTTGTGTGTCAGGCTCTGAAGAAGGCAAATCATGGTTAGTGTAGTGCAGAGCATGGTTTGTTTGTGTTATTTTTGCTGTTTTTAAATATTTTATTTTAAATATTTTTATTTTTTAAAAAATATTTTAAAATATTTTATTTTTCTGTTGAAAATATACACAGTAAAACATGCAATGCACCAACAATTTCTACACATGTAAGTCAGTGACATTGATTACATTCTTCAAGTTGTGCAGCCATTTTCATCCTCTTTTTCCAAACTTTTCCTCCCACATTAACATAAACTTAACCAAAAAAAAAAAAAAAAACCACAACCCACCGCCATGGAGTGGATTCTGACTCGTAATTCTGACCCCCATTGGGTTTCTAAGGTGGTAAATCTTTATGGAAATAGATTGCCCAGTCTTCCTTCCACAGAATGGCTGGTGGATTTGAACCGCCAACCTTCTGGTTAGCAGTCAAATGCCTTAGGCACTACGCCACCAGAGCTCCTTAACATAAACTTCCTGTCCTCTGGATTTCATATTTAATCTTTCGAGTTGCTGTTGTCTGTTTGATCATATATAGATAGTTCTTTAGAAGAGTACAATGCTCAAGGCAAGCACTCTTGTTGTTGTTGTTGTTAGGTGCCATTGAGTCCTCTCCGACTCAGAGACCCTATGCATGGCAGAACAAAACACTGCCTGGTCCTGTGCCAGCCTCATGATCTCTGCTACACCTGATCCCATTGCTGCAGCCACTGTGTCTATCCATCTCCTTGAGGGCCTTCCCCTTCTTCGTTGACCCTCTGTTTTACCAAGCATGATATCCTTCTCCAGGGAATGGTTCCTCTGACAATATGACCAAAGCAGGTGAGACAAAGTCTGGCCATTCTCACTTCCAAGGAGTGTTCTGGCTGCACTTCCTCCAGGACAGATTTGTTAGTTCTTTTAGCAGATCATAGCACTCTTAGCATTCTTCTCCAACACCACAACTCAAAAGCATCAACTCTTCTTCAGTCTTCCTTATTTGTTGTCCAGCTCTCACATGTGTAAGAGGCGATTGAAAATACCATGGCTTGGGTTAGACACACCTTAGTCTTCAAGGAGACATCTTTGCTCTTCATTACTTGAAAGAGATCTTTTGGAGCAGATTTGCCCAATGCAATACATCATTTGATGTCTTGACTGCTGCTTCCATTGGTGTTTACTGTACAATGAAAAAAATATGAAATCCTTGACAACTTCAATCTTTTCTCCATCCACTGCAAAGATGTTTATTGGACCAGTTGTGAGGCTTTTTGTTTTCTTTATATTGAGGAGTAATCCCTACTGCAGACT